TTTTTTTAAGAGCTCAGAATGGAGGGCTGTGAAGAACATCTTTGTACAGTTATTTGCATCAGTGTCCTTGGAAGAGAGGGCAGGTGAGAAGGAAAGGGTATCCACATTTGAACTCTGACCTCTTGGGATCACTTCTAGGTTCTTGGGAAACTGTCTTAGCCTATGGCAGAGGGAACAGGGGAACATCCCCCAGTGAATTCTCAGCTTCAGAAATGAGAAAACCAGAGGGAGACACCTGACCTGGGGGCAAGGCTTAAAAATCAATCTTCTCTCTAACTTGTCAGATTTTGTACAGTAAACTCAGTTTCCTCTGAGGGAAGGAACCAATTCTAAAACATTGTGTGTATGTATAAACCCCCATGTGTGCATGTTCCTGTGTGTGTGTGTGTGTGTGTGTGTGTGTGTGTGTGTGTGTGTGTGTGTGTGTGTAGAGGCAGAGGACAACCTTGGACCTTGTTCCTCACTAGCCAACCATCTGCTTTTTTGAGACAGGCTCTCATACTGGCCCGAATCTCATCAAGTAGGCTGGACTGGTTGCCCATAAAGCCCAAGGAATCCATCCCTCTTTGCCTCCCCAACACCAGGATTACAGGCACACGCCACATGCCTGGCCTTTTTAGGTGGTTCTAGGGGTCAAACCCAGGCCCTTACATTTGTACAGTAAGCATTTTATTGATAGAATCAGCTCCTCAGCCGGACTGTGGTGGTTATAAAAAGGTAAATGTAAAAAGGCTTTGGTGAGGCATTGGAATGTGTGTTCCACTAAAGCGAGTAAGAGGAAGGAGGCATCCCCTCTCCTCTCCTCTCCTCTGCGGAGCCGTTGAGTCCAATGGGGACTTAGAATGACTCAGGCCCTGTCCGTCCCTGCACATGGTCTGTGCTGTGTAGAGAGCCGGTGTCTCCAGAGAGGCCCGTGCAGGAGCCCGGGAGGAAACAAAGCGAGACTTCTCGCTCTCTGCTCGGAGACAGCGGTGGGTGGAGAGCCACTACTACCGGTGAGAGGCTTTGGTGAGCAGGCACTGAGCTTTGGCGAACACCAGATATGTCTAATTTTTTTTTTTAACTTTTAGGGCACTTTGAATGTTTTTAAAGTGATAATACTGCATTTAAAGTAAGAAAATTATATTTAAGCCTAAGTTTGTTATTGTCTAGACAAATGTCGTTGACAAACTAAACTTTCCAAATGTCAGTGTGGGGGGGACAGTGCTTCCCTCAGAGTGAGCCAGAAAAACGTGGGGCGATTCTCCCTGAAGATCTCAGGTAGGCTCCTCAGCCAGTCCTGGTTCCCACAAAGAACTTTCTGTTAGGGAGAGAAGGGGGGAAGAGGAAGAGGGAGTCGGAGGGGAGAATGAAGTGATTCTTATGTCAGCCAAGTAGACAGTTTCGAGTTTAAAATAGAATCTGTGTTAAATAGTTTGATCATGTGAGGGCACAAGTCATAGGTTCAACCACATGATAGTTCTCCCACCCCCGAGGAGGCTAGCCAATGTCTCCTCCCACTTCTGAACAGTTGGGCGTGCTGTACCTGAAGCTGTCTAATTTGGAAAATGACATCTTTAAATTATTTGTAATGTAACCATGAGCATGTATATCTGTAATAATTAATTTTCCTTTCTCTGTGATAAAAATACTCTCACGAAAGCAGCTCGAGACTGAAGGGTTCAATCTGGGTCACAGCTGGAGCGTGTCCCAGTCCGTGAGGGCAGGCAAGGGGCTGAGGCAGCTGCCCTGTTGGTCCCACAGTCAGGAAGGAAACAGAGAGAGGCGATGCCAGAGCCTCAGCTCACTTCCTCCTGTTTAGGACCCAGGCCCACGGCTGATGCTGCGTACAGTTCGGGGCCTCTTCCCGTCTCCCTTAACCTGTTCTGTTTGATCTCTCACAGGCATTTCCAGAGCCTGTTCTCGGCCATTCTAGATCCCCGGCACGCGATGGCTGTGGAGGGAGGCTATGCTTCTTTGTGTGTATACCCACTGGTCGGCTGCCTGTGCTCCAGGGCACGGTCCCACACCCATGCATGTTAGAGACAGCATTAATTAGACTCAGTGAGTTATAAAGATGACGAAGAAGAGAACAGGAAGTTGAGGGTGGTAGGGAGGTAATGGAGGGATGGTTATAATCTAAGTATGTTGTGCATGTCTATTCTCAGAAAATAAATAAAAATTATACAAAAGACTATTTTAACCACATGTAATATCACTATTTTGCAGTCGTTTTATAATAAAAATAATTAAAAGAAGGAAACAAGGCAAAATCTCAATAGTAGTAAAATAATGACAAGCTTCTGTGCAGCTGTACAAAACATTTCCTCCCTACCCTTACTGTACAAGATATTCCTATTTGTTGTTGTTGTTCACTCTCGGTTAAAAATGAAGACAAAAACACACACGAACCCAGGATTATACAGGGTCAAGATCATCATTTTCTTCAACTTCCCTTGAAAACCTCGTCCTACAAGATGGCTTTTGAGGGTGATACTACGCACTGAGTTGCCACTGCCTCCGATATTGATGCCCTCTTTGGAAAGCCCACCAAAAGGAGTCTTCCTAAGTCTGCTTTACAGTTAACCTTTCTTCATAAATAGAATACACAACAAAAATACAGTAAATGACAGCAACTTAGTCATTTTTCACTTTTGGATGTTGTGCTAGCTGTTCTTCTATTGCTGTGATCAAACACCATGACCAAGGCGACTTAGAGAAGAGTTTGCTTTGACCCTCACTCCGGAAGATCTGAGTCCATTGCAGCAGGGTGGAGGCGGCAGGTAGGCACCGTGGGGGTGGGAGGGGGAGCTGAGAGCTCACATATGAACTGTAAGCATCAAGCAGAAAGAGCAAACTGAAGTGCCTCAAGGTTTTAACTCCCAAAGCCTGCCCTCACTGGCGACTTCCTCCGGCAAGGCCATACCTCATAAATCTCAAAACAGCGCCACCAAATGGGGACCAAGGGTTCAAATGCATGAGCCTCTGGAGGACGTTCTCACTCAAACCACCTCAGGTATCATGTACAATCCACATCAGTATGATGATGCTTTATGACTGATAGCAGAGCTAACTTGTTTATATCCGCATCATCTCAAGAGATGAATCGTACTAAGATGCTATGATGGCTGTACACTAGGTTATGGGAAAGCTCCAGCTCTGTTCTCATCTTGTGGGACCACCATCTCATATGTCATGTGCTGTTGACCAAATTATTCTTGTGCAAGGCATGCCTGGAAAATGCAGTGGAGTTGACTGGGTTATATTCAAACTGTATGTTTGCACTTCCTAGCAACACTAACACAAAATCTTAAGTTAAAATGGCAATTTGGAGGTTTATATAAATTACTTCCAAAGCTTACTTTTTGGAATAGCCATACAAAGGATTAGTATGATATGTTTTGCATGTATAAATGTACTCACGTTTATTTTATTTGAGAATGATACACCAGCAGGTTCAGGAACACAGGAACACATACCTATAACATGGTAAAGGTTAAAGCAAGACTGGCTGACGGAATCTTAACTGCTCTTCTTTCCTACCTCTGCCCTGTTTTCCAGAAATGTCTACTCAGATATTTGACTCTGGTGCCAAAGCCGGCATTCTTTTGGCTTCATGCTAGTGTATACTGATTATTTTTAAAGATTTGTTTTTATTCATGGTGTGTGTGTGCGCACGCGCGCGTGCCGGCACGAGTTCACGTGAATTGCATGTGTGTAGGCACCTGTAGGGCCAGCAGAGGGCGTCAGATTCTCTGGTGCTGGAGCTGGAGTTGGTTGGGAGCGGCCATGTGGGTGCTGAGAACTGAACTCAGGCCCTCTGCAAGATCACTAACTCTCTCTCCCTGGGCCATCTCTTCAGTCCCATAAGTGGGTTCTCTTGAGCCAATAACATCACTATGCTGATGATTGAGGCTAGTTTCCGCCCACATAGTATCTTGATATTTTGTTAAAAATCAACAGGTCAGACGTATACATAAGAATCTATTTCTAGACCCTGTTCCAGTGTTTAGATGTATTCCTTTTGTATACCACACAACTGTCTCACTCAGCCAGCTTTAGGAGTCCTGGTATTGGGTTTGGTAAATTCTCTAGTTTTGTCTTCACCAAGAGTGTTCTGTTACTCTTTCTCTGGGTTCCTTGCATTGCCATATGAGTTTTGGAGTCAGTTTGGTAAGTTCTAAAACACAGCTTGTTGGAATTCCTGTTAGGATTGGATCCAGCCTATAAATGAGCTGAGTAGAAACTGATATCTTTAACAATATTGAGTCTTTGCAACTCATGAACATGGTTGATTTTTTCCATTAGCTTTGTCCCAAAGACAAGAATGGACACCTATAAGCACATAAAATATAAGTGCTTTACATGCGTCATATTAATTAATATTCACTATTCCTTTCAGTAGAGAGATTAAACATGAATGGGAGTGGAGAGGAAGAGAGAGTAAATGACTTCTTACAAAGAAGTCAGTAAGTTACATAAAAGGGGACTTGTGCCTCCTTGAACTGACTCTAAAGCCAAACTTTTTTCATTCACTACTAGACATAACTCAGCTTCACCAGGGCCGAGGGAGGGCCATCACTCATTTCTGCAAACCTCTCCAAAATTCAGGTTGCTTCTGAACAATTATACATTCCAAATTCTTGCTACAATGATACCTTCAGCTACAGAAAGGAAAGTCAGCATTAAACTGTATGGAGTCATGTGGGCATTGCAGATTAAATCATACTTCCAAATTGCACTTGAGAATAGAGTGTGCCAGTTATATCCTCTGAGCATCTAGCTTGGCTATCCCACTTGGGATTCGGGTTAATAAACAGCAGAAACTTTTTGCACTCCATTGAAAAACAAAACTAAAAACACTTCCCCACACAAAAAGACACAAGAAAGAATAATTCCATTTATAAATTGTCTGCACGAACTGATCTAGGAGTTTCCAAAATGGTCTGTCTGCTCTGGACATAGGATACCCTGTTAGGAAGATTTACTTATTTTACAACTTAAAAGGTATTTATTTTTTTCAAGGAAAAGCATGCACACAGCTCCCCACTATCACAATTTGTGCAGATAAGTTTCCCACACTGGGGGAAATTGCAGGGGTCAGCACATCCGGAGTGCAATGGAGAAGCCTCGCCCTGGGAAAGGCACCTTCGTGATCATGGTATCTCCCTTGCCAGGTAAGGATTCATGCCCCCAAGATAATAAAAATGAAGCAATAAATTAAAACAAATCCCAAGTGATTGTAATTAAAATTAGCCAAAGTTTCTGCTGTTCTTGATAAGCAGTAGAACCAATGTTAAATGAGTTCACATTGCAAAGGAAGGCCCGGGAGCCAGGTGAACGTGACTGCAGGTGAGCCTCCGTGTGCATCCCACCCCGCCTTGCTAGCTCCATGCCACCTGTTGGAATGGTCCCCTAGTGATCCACCTCACCAGTCCCTTTCCAGCTCACAGAGAAAGCCGGTGGGGATGTTTGGTGGGAGCGCAGGGAACAGGCTGCTGGAGATGTGGGAGACAGAAGACAGCGCCACAGCCACACTCCTTCAGACGGCCTCCCCTCCCCACCTGTCTCAGAGAAAGGCCGTCCCACAAAGGGCGTGGCAGGGAACTCGAGTCTTGCGGGAGTAGGGTCACGAGGCTGGGGCCAAAGGAGGGAGGATGGCTGGAGCCTGTGGGGCTCGGAGCCCAGAGTGACCCTGCGCTGATGCGTCGCATCCCTCGGCGGCTAGAAGGACCTGACTCCTCCCCGTGGGTCCCCGCTGTTCCCTCGGGTGCGCCCTCGGCGCGCCTTGGGCCGCAGGTGAGCCTAGCCCAGCGCTGCCGGGGGCATCAGGTGTCGTGTGAACCTTGCTTGCTGGCGCTCGGGGAGGGAGCCCGATGTCTCCAGCAGCAGGTGACAGAAAGCGGGAGGGTAGGGGCCAGGACACCTGCGCCAGCCATGGAGGGCACACAGAGGGGAGCGGAGTGCGAGATGCACCGGTTTGGCACAACCGGGGCTCCGCCATGGACCACAGGTCAGTGGGGCTCGCGGCTGGGGTGGAAACACCCTCTCTGCGTCACCTCGGCAAGGTCTGGAGGAGACAGCAGAGTCCTGGCTGTCCATAGCTGTGTTTCCCGGGAAGCAAGCTGCGAGAATCCCGTGCAGGATGCCACCCCAGCCCAGAGTGGGTTCTCTCTGGGAGCCTGTGCCCCGGGAGGCCAACTGGACTCCCACCAGGGTCTCAGAGACCATTCTTGGAGTGGCTTCGTGTCTGCTCTTAACTTGGGCTCTCCCTTTGTAAAGCTGTGGCCAGGGGTAGAAATGGGGGCAACAGCACGGGCTCTGCGCTGGTCGGACTCTGGCAGGTTGCAGAAGCCGGAGATCCCAGGGTGTGGTGTCCGGATGACAGCAGGCCAGCCTTGGCTTTCTCGCTCGGAACCAGCACCACAGGGGTAGTCCCATGGCATAGAAGAAGAGGAAGGAGGCGCGGCAGAGAGAGTAGAACTGTTCTCATTTTGCAGGAGCGAAAACTGGGGCTCGGTTTGGACCTAGAGAGTTGTCTGAAGTCATAGACTTGTCAAATTGTAGAACCAGAGAGGGAGGGCGGAAAGAAGGGAGGGGTCTGGTGAGAAGCAGCGATGCTGAAGAAGCAGGTTGGGGCAGTTTGTGGTGCTTTCTCCAAATCACACATTCCCTCTCTATCGCTACATTTGTGCAGCTCAACCCAATTTAGCCTCTGGCTGCCATCTAAGTGTGTGAGTCAGTCTAGGGCCAGCACCCTGACATCCGAGGTAGACTCCTGCGGGGTCCCTGTGCAGGCCTTCACACCAGAAAAAGAGCGGGGTCAATACCTGGTCGGCCAGCGTGGCTCCCCATGGTTTGTAAGTTTAGCAGTCAGCCCGGAATGAAAGCTGGGTTTCTGGAACAACCTGAGCAGCGTTTTGAATAAATTAATGGTGGTTGGCTGTTTTCTCTTTGTTCCTGCCGGTTACTGTTACACGGTGTATGGCTAGTGTGTTTAAAGTTTAATTTTCTCTGTATCATAATGGAAAGGGGTTTGGTGGGACTTCAGATCAGTAGTCCACAAACACACTTTACTCCAACACGTTCATTACTGTAGTTATTCATATGTAGTAATCAACAGAAATTGTTTTAAGTCTGTCCCAGTTAGGGTTTCTACTGCTGTGATAAAACACCATGACCAAAAGTAACTCAGGGAGGAAAGGGTTTATATCAGCTTAGAACTCTCTTGTAGGATCACAGTTCATCACTGTGGGAAGTCAGGAACTCTCTTGTAGGATCGCAGTTCATCACTGTGGGAAGTCAGGCACGGGGTGAACTTGGCCAGGCGGGAACTGGAGCAGAAGCCGTGGTGAAGCTCTGCTTGCTCAGCTTTCTTTCTTTCTTTTTCTCCTTTTTTTTTAAAAATCAATTCTTTATGTCTTTCACATCACACATCTCCATCCCATTCATTTCTCTGTCCCTTCAAATCCACCCTTTGCCCTTGCAACCCCCCTCCCCCTCCAAATAAAATAAAATAAAATTTTAGAGAAATAAAAGAGAAGGAAAAAAATCAGTCTCGTCCTGGAAGCTGCAGTGTGACTCAGTGAGTCACTCAGTAAACCGTCTTGTCCATATATCTTTACTTGCAAGTGTTCATTACAGAGATCATAGGTCTGGTTCTAGGCCTCTGGTATCTGCTACACTGTCGATGCTGGGCTCTCACTGGGACTCCTCTTTGTTATCCTGTTGTTGCCCTGTGCTGTGGAGATCCTGCAGCTTTGGGTCTGCAGCACCAGCAGACCACAGATGGGGTGGATACTGGGGTGGGCCAACACATAATCCTGGTTCTGGGCCTGGGTAGTTGCAGGGTTGGTCAGCCTGCCAGCTCTCCCTTGTACTCACCACTAGGGCAGACTCCTGCATTGTTCTGGTGAGTTCACCCCTGGTAGCAATGAGCAAGCAGCGGGGGCCAGTTCTCCTGATTTCACATCCTCAGGGTCAGATCTCCCACACCCACACCTTCAGGGCCAGCTCTACTGGGCCGCCCAGGCATGGCACAGGGGCCACTCTCCTAAGTACTGCTGTTGATGAGGGGCAGAGCCAGCTCTCCTGCTCTTATGACCTCAGGGCAGCCCTCCCACCTGCCCCCCCACCTTCCACCCATGCTGCCACATGACAGATGAGTAATGGAGACGGCTCTCCATGCTCACAACTACAGGGCTGGCTCGCCCACACCTCTGCCAACAGGATGGGCTCTATTTGTGCTGCCCAGGTGGGGTGCAGGGCCTGCTCTCCGGAGCGTTGCAGCTGGTGGGGGACAGGGGTAGCTCTCTTGCCCCTCTGACCTCAGGGCCGGCTCCCTCTAACCCCCATGCTGCCACATGAGAGAGGAGGAACGGGGACATCAGCTTGTTTTCTTATACCACCTAGGACCATCTACCCAGGGATGGCCACTCCCTCCCCCAAGGGGACTGAGCCTCCCACCTTAACATTAAGAAACAGCCCTAAGGACATGCCTACAGGCCAATCTTACAGAGGTGTTTTCTCCATTAAGATTCCCTCTTCCAAGGTATGTCTGGATTGTGTCAAGTTAATGAAAACCAACCAGTTCAAAGTCCCACAGACATAAGGGAGAGAAAAAAAAAAGCCATCAGTTCTTGGAGTTTCACTCAAGAACATCTTACCTCTTTCTTCAAAGGAGTAGAGTGAAGGGCTGGGTATGTGACTGAGCAATCGGAGTGCTTGTCTCACATGAACAAGACTGGGGGCTCTAGCCCCAGCTTGGCAGAAACAAATGCTGTCTAAAACATCCCACTGTGTTTTATTTGTTTGCCATGCCTTTTCCTCTCCTTTATGTCTTTACCCAAGAACTGTTACATATACTCATGCTCTGAGGTGGCTTGTAACACTGGGACAAAACCATACCTTAATGCACGCCATTATGGTTGTCTTCGGAAGGAACTGACTGCATTTGTTACATACTAATATGTTTTATGCATTATTCTCTTCACTCAGCAGTGGCCTTATTTATCACTTTTCATTAATCAGGAGTTTAGAATGTCTCCCATGACTGGTTTTTATAGCCCAAATCTCCATTTCAGGAATGCTGGGTTTGCTGAGAATGTTGTAATCTATATCCAACGTGTGATTCTAGACTTGGAAAGCAGTAGGTTTAATTTATCAGATGTATGAATGTAGGCTAAATTCTTCTCCCTTCATCATTAAGTGCAAGTTATTATGAAAACATTAAACTCAGATGGGCTTCTGTTCTATGTGGAAAAACTCTACTCTCTTGGTGAGTGTAGGGTATTTTATTTGAATGTGTTTCCATAGTATCACTGAGGGGGAATCCCAGGTAACTTGCAGTCTCTGGAGAGACTTCTTCATCAGTTTGAAAAGTTTCTTCAACCCTTTCAAAGAGGCAAAAGAAATAGTATGAAGTATGAAGCACATGCTTCAGATATCCTGGGTAAGAGGAAACAAGTTCAAGCATTGGGCCATTTGGGAAAGGGGCTGCAGTTGAGGGCTGTTTTCCCCTCTGTAGCAGAGCTCAGTTCTGGAGGCTCACACAGTCCCTAGGAATCTCGTTGATGTTAGAGAGCCTCCCTGCCTAGTTGGGATAGAGTGTAAGAGAGGCTGCCTGCTTACACTCCGTGTTTAGGCCCTATTTGCGTTTATTTAATAGCTGCTACAATCTTCCGAGGATAGATATTATCATTTTGCAGGAGTAAGGCTCAATGTGGGCTGAGTGAGTTGACACAAGTCATAGAAGGATCGAGATCTAAACCAGTTCTTGGTTCTTACAAAGTCTGTTTATTGATTAATAATTGTATGGAAGTTTTTGTTTCTCCCCAGAGAGGAAAATGAATGACCATATCCACGTGAAAATCTGCATATCATTTCAGGGTCCATTTACTCTCTGAAGTTCTTATTCAGCCTCTCAGGCCCCGATCTTTGCAAAAACTGTATCTGGTACCCACTGAGCCAGAAAGCAAACACATACCATACACAGCCTTACATGCAAACATGAAATCTTTTGCTAATAGGAGCAGACCTTGGAGCTGTTAACTTTCAACTAGGCAAGAATTCACTTAAGTAGTTGAAACCAGTCGGAGACTTATATCCCGTTATAATCCATGCTCACCTGAGATGGTGTGGGAGTACAGGACAGCTCTATGGACCCTGGGGCAGCCATGCGAGCTT